GTAAGTTATGTTTACAGAAAATATATTAACTAAGAAAGTATTTACAGTTTACTAGAATATGTTTCATACATCCAGAAGTCATATTACATGAATCAAAATAACTTATTTCTACGTAATAAGGTTAAATGTTCTTTGCGTTTATTTAATTTATTAAATGTAAATACAATTTAATATACCGAACTACATATAATTATATAAATAATTTAATGTTGACACGCAGCGAGGTGTTTTAACGCGAATATTATCTTCTCTCATACATTTCGCCTTCCATTTAGTGATGAGCAACCATGGCCCGCGGGCGGCGTTCGTACACTTTATTCAAAATTAATAGCGTTTCCACTTAACTCTTATAAATATTTGGACAAGCATTTTCTTGGCAGGTGTTCATGATATTTAATATTCAATATTCCATTATTTTAATTTCTGTTTTGAAAATCCCTAGTGATTTCATATGTCAGATTCATTTTGCTGCTAGAATCGATTTTCCTTTGTTAGCTGGAATTACGATAACATGGTCCTGATTGTCAGGATGTTGGGCTCCGAATTCTGGTGGTGTTGATTCTGCATTTAGTACTACTTCAGATAGACTGGTTGTACAGCGACATCACTGTGAAAACTATATTGGCAGAGTTTCCGTTCTAAAGGAAGAGAATACACATGTATATTATAGTTTAGTGAAGAACAGCGAACAACAAGCACAACTGAACAGAATATTTGAAAGTAATTTGACAGTTTCATGCAGTTGATTGTTATTAAACGATACTTCAATTTCAGGTGAATAAAATCCGACAACGTTAACTCCAGCCATTGTATTTTGTGTAAATAATATGATTTGTTTTAGGATATATGATGTAGGGATTATAAAATAAGAGTTGTTAATCGAAATCCTACATTTCGGAGCGTTTATTTGCATTAAAGGGCCCCTTGTTTCCATTGTTTGTGACAAAATCATCTCAGTTTCAGAAGAACATAATACTGAGAGGCACTGAAAACGAAGCACACGTCACCACTGAATGGCGTAGAAGTGTAGTTAAGGTGGGTCAAAACAACAGCTTCAGAAGCGTCTTGCTCAGCAGCAAAGCTTATTCGAACTTTCAAAATTTAGTCTTAGATATTTCGGTTCGCGATAGTTGCGTAATTTCTGGAATATTAAAAGAGCAATACTCTAGTAACGGTTAAATAATAAAAGGATGCTTAGGGGTACCGCGCCATAGCTCAAGTGGTTAGTCGCTGGCTTTCCATCGCGGCGGCCCGGGTTTGATCCCGGGTCTGGTCAAGTGGGATTTGTGGTGGACATAGTGGCGCTGGGGCAGGTTTTCTCCAAGTACTTCGGTTTCCCCTGCCAATCTTCATTCCACCAATTGCTCAGAAATTGAATTACGCCTGGTAATGAAGAGGTAAGCTTTTTGTCAGATTTGTGAAGACGACTGGAATTGCTACATGAATGAACTGAACATCAATCAGCAAGGAGCGGAACACCTCAGTGAAAGTTTTGACAAAATAACAACGTTCGAGAGGAAACTTTGATTATGGGATCTGAAATTGCGATCGAACAATATTACACACTTCCAAATTGTGAGAAGGTAAACATCAGCGATGCTAAGAAATACGCCGAAAAATTATATCTTCCGCAAGAATCCAACTCCATTCAAGGCATGATACCGCAGTCAGCTTCCTTTTCCCGACATTTGACGTTGATACTGGAAATATTCAGCCGAATGTCAAATTGAGGTGACAGATCTGCAGTGTGATACGGACCTGAGAANTCTTCATAGTCACCGCCGTGATAGCCTCAAATCTTACACCTGAGAAATTCATTTCGACATTTACAAACTCTAGCTCTTAACTGCTGATAAGCTTCCACTGCCTAGCCATCATGCACCCCGAATGACAGAAATTTCGTAGGGAACAGGTTTTATGTGATCAGTTCTTTACAGAATTGAAAGTGGCCAAAAGTAGAACTAGTAATCGACTCGACGATAAAGGATTAGAGAACTTCCTGCAAGCTGCTACTTCTCTACATATTCCGAATTTGGTGACTAAGAAACTTTGATGTACTTGTAAAAAGTAAAGTTGTCCCTGTGCTTAACTAATTACGCATTACACCGTGAAGGTGTATCGGGGAGTGGATGTATAGGTTCACATTTTCTTGACCTCGGCACTAGTCGGAGGAGAGTGGTCAGCTTCACGCCCCGGCCGCTTTACCCCTGGGGAAAGAGCCCCGTGTACCGATTGGTTATGAGGTCGGGTGGACCTCAGAGCCGGTTTGGACGACTGGGAGAAGTGAAAATTCTTGACCCCACCGAGATTCGAATTCGAGCACCTCGGTCGTCCAGCCATTAGCCAGTCGCTATATCGACTGCGCTATCCCGGCTCACTTGATGTGCTTGTATCCTTGAACATAAAACTGAAAGTCGTAACAAATACAATTAACTTGTTTATATCCTAAAAGTATAAAACACTTTCATTGAAAAGGCATGCCTTTCGGCCATCGCAGGATTTTAAAGTGTTTACATTTGGCCTCCTTAAAAAACGCTGCTCATCACCATTTTATGCAGTAACATCACTCTCTCTGTTCTTATTCACTCCGTCTATGCTGCTATGTATTAAGTGAGTTATTTGCCATCCTTACTTCACTATAGCATTTGTAAAGAGACTTCTAAACACATTGTTTTTTATTTATTAATTAATGCTTTGGACACACGTATTTAAACTAATGTATTCACATACTGTGTTTTCAGGCAAGTGTTAATATTTTATTAGTAAATACCGGCTTGCACGTCTTTATGATGCATTAAAATCACTCACATTTCGTTTCACACAGTTCTTCTTGACGCTTTACGTCACATTTCAAGGACAGCCAGTTATTTTTGCAAATGAATAATTATTTATAGCTGTAACTATTCAAAGTAATCATAAGTAATCTCTATTCCTGTTCGTATATACTTCTTAGATAGCAATGATGACTGTTTAAATAAATTATGATGTTTAAAGCCATGCTGAATATCTACAATCATCACTTCGTTATAGATAGCAACCTATGACAGAATTAACTGCTTATATTTACACTGGAAATTGCAGTGTCTGTACTTTGTGTTGTCACCGTCATCTCACGTTCTGATTGCATTGCTTTTACTTTTCTGGACAAAGTAATATATTGTGGCGCATATACCCACTGCTAGGCAACGACTCAGTATACACGTTCCAGCGAACACTCAACAATAGGAGCTGTGTTCTCTGTGGACCGTGCTACAACTCGTTGCTAGGTAACAGAACAATACGCGACAAGAGAAGATGGTGTCTTACATTCTGTGAATGTCTCATTAATATTCCGATCTTAGAGGGAAACTGAATTATTATTATGTATTGTTAATTTTAAAACTTATAAAGGGCTTGTATGAACCCACAAAACATTATCTTAGTCTAAGACATGGTTTATGTTGTTTCGTATACGGGAAATTGTACCCACAACAACTGAATCGGCGTGGTCTTGATGCCACTATTTCGAATGTCGCCAGTCAACGAAAGATACTTTTCGATATTCTCATTGGTCGTCGGTATCAAAGTCATTACTCAGCGACATTGGGGTCTCGACTAGAAGGGATTACATTTTCTCTTTGTCTTGAATGATAATATCCTGGCGATTATATTAATATTATTATTGTTATTGCTATTGTTATAATCTAAGTATGTGTTCCAGAAGTTTTTCTTTTGTGTTCAAGCCACAAAGCAAAGCATTTCACATTTTAAAGGCGTGTCCACATTACTCGTGCTCGTCGGGAGACTCGTCTGGCTTTTACTTGTGCTCGTAAATCTTCGTCCACACTACTTCAGTTGCTCGCCAGGCTTCGGCGCGTGAGGATCCGTATATTTACTCGTAGTGTGTAAAGGCTGTAATCGTATTTTAATTTATTGGCTGTAGTTTTTAAATTAAAAATCTGCTTGTCTCGTGACTTGACATATCGTCCATATTACTCGCGAGCATAGCGAGTCACATGAGCACGAGAAATGTGGACGCGTCTTAAGAGTTTGTATTAATTTTTTCTTCTAATTTTACATCTAACTTTCGAGATGAATGACAAATGTTACATTTTTAAAAATTCTATAGGCATACACTATTATGTACTGTACATGTAAAATAATTTGAATTCTATTCAGAAGTGCCAGAAGAATATCCACTCATATTTAAATGAGTACCTGCATCAGTATACTGACATTCAGAGTTTAGCATGCTGCTCATGAGCCCTCTCGTCTGAATTTCTTGTTTTGAAGGCTTAGTGACAGAACAGTCTCAACCTCTTTTTAACAAATTAATGACAGCTAATTATTCGTGATCACCTAAACGTTTATGACAATGACCTGTTGTTCACCATAAAATTATTGTGTTGGACATTGCCCTTCCACTTGTGTACATGTAAACTATACGGCATCTCAGGAGTTGGATCTGCTTTCATCTTCAGGTGTAAAAAAAAAAGGTAAAGGTATCCCTCTAACAGGCCATGAAGGCCCATAGGGTTGTGAGATGTCGAGGCTCCCACATTTTCTCTAGACAATCGGCTCACAGATGGCGGTGAGGTTATCAGCCTTACGCGCCGACCGCCTTTTACCCCCCAGCAAGACTCCTGGTAGTTATTTCTGTTAGAGGCTGAGTCGACCCCAGGGCCATAGTGCGGCTGGAAGGATTAGATAAATTGAAAAAAGTCCATCTCATCGGGACTCGAACCCGCGACCTTCCGGCTTGTAGTGTAGTGACTCAATCAACTACGCTACCGCGTGTCCCTTCACCTTCAGGTGTGCAAACGGCAACTCAGTTGGACCCGAAGCGTCGTGTTATTTACATATCCCTAGGACGATGGACAATGCCCAGAATAATAACATTGTAATGATAAACATTCGTGGTAATACAGCAGTATACTTGTGGATTAACATGGAAAAGCACGGCTGCTAGGATAGTAGCAGTATTTATCTACACTGCACACTGTAGTCAGAATTAAAGTAAGTTAAGGATAGAAATTCTGTAAAGCATCAGAGTACATTGCATTTACAGAATCTCTCAGTACATAGACGTCACTCGGCCTTCCATTGAACACGTAAGGTCCTTTGTTAAGGCTACTGACAGAAGACTCGGGTTTGGGTTTCGGGTATGGGTAAGAAGGAAGAGTGGGTCGGTGGGTCATTCCAGAGTCCAGAGCTGGCGCCGCTGACCACTGGTATATATTGGTTGGTTTGCCATTAGCGATAAAGTCTATCGGTAAATTAATGAAGGGGTTGATCTGCGAAGACAGTGGTGTGGGGGGTGGCGGTGGCTGACTAACATATCCAAGACCGGGAACGAAAACGTAGGGGGTTGGGGGTAAACGGATGTAGTAGATTGGTGAGTCAGGGTATGGGGTTGGGGTCTTAGGGCGGATGATGGTGTCCAGGGGATCTGTTCTAGCTAAGATCTCATTAGCGTCTTCGCTTCCGCCGTATCTGTTGAAAGGGATGTCGGGCATGTATCCCCCACTGAAGTAAGGCGCCTGAAGATAGTCGTAGAACGCGAAGGATTTGTCACCACGGAGATATTGTCGGCTCTGACGTGTGTCGGCCATTGCTGGGTTCTTCTCGTCTTCATAATCGGATGTGGTGTCCCTCCGAACCAGATGATGATATATTCCATCGTGTCGCATTGTGGGTACTGCTGAGCTGGGATGTGGCGTTAATGCAACAATGGTGCAGAGGCTCGTGGCCAGCATGAGGATGTGAGGGGCGGAGAATCTGGAAAGCGAGCAGAACGCAAAATAAGTGTATCGTACCTCAACATGAATATATATATATATAGTTAGGTTAACCGTGACACAACAATATTCTCGATTTTAATGTTTTACAACAGGCTTTTTATTCCTGCTATATGTTTCGGTCGTAGAAGACCATCAACAGTTATATATAGGAAAAAGTTCAGTTATTGAACTACCGATATGGATCCATTCCAGTGCAACATGTCATATTATATAATAACAAGACAAATTTTTGCCTCAAGCTGTTAAGTATTACAATTAAAATAAGATAAAGCATAAAAGATAGAATATATAAAGCACACGTAGTAAAGACAAGCAGCGGCAC